GACATGAGATGGTGATATGGAGGAGTTTCTTTAAGTCAGCATTTTTTCCCTACACGTCAAGTATTTTCTTACCTCTTTCTGCTAAGTAAAAGTATTTATAGGAAACAATATAGCTGGATGCTGAAATTGTTTTCAGATGTTCTCTACACAAACATCCCTGAGTGGATGATGGAGTCAGACTTTTTGCTCGTATTTAATTACTTGGAGTTATTACTGCATCTTTAATTATGAAGACAAACTTAGAAAGAGAGTTTGAGGTAAGCAAATGCTGGGCTGCTTTTATGAGCCGTGCAGCAGCGTTTATTTTATTAGTTACCCTTTGAAGTGTTTATTTGCCACATAGTACAGTAAATGTGCCAACATAAATCCTGTTACTGACGCTGGTCTCCAGTCGATGTGCTCAGGAGCTCTCTATTATCTCTATGGATGTGGCAACTCTCACCACAACTGTTAGGATTGTAACCAAAATTGTAGTTTATTATTTAAATGAACAGCATTTGAAGGGATGTTTTGGTTGTTTTGACTGCGTAAGCTTAAAATAATTCATAGCTTACTGGTTTGAGTGTTCTTTCTAAAGAAATTGCAGATTTGTTTGACAGGACAGATAATCTAACGGCTAAACAAAACAGAGAAGACCACATTTTTTTTCTGCTGCCATTTTAAGGGTGTGGAACAAGCCAAGCCAACTTTATTTGTATAGCACCTTACAACTGTATAAAACTGACCAAAGTGCTTCACACAATTAAAATATATTAAAAACAATACACCACACAAACATGCATAAAAACTAAAGCGAAAAGACTCTCATGCTGTGTTAAGAGCATAAGCATAAAAAAGGGTTTTCAAAAGAGATTTAAAACAAGACAGAGTAGATGTCAACCCCTAATGTTCAAAGGCAGCATGTTCCAAAGCCTAGGGGCCGATACAGAAAAAGCCCTGTCACCTCCAAGCTTATGTCTCATTCTTGGGACTTCCAGGAGCATCAGCTGACCTTATAGGCCATGCAGAGGAGTGAAAAACCAGTAGCTCAGAGATATAACCTGGAGCATGGCCATGCATAAATAAAAAAAAACTCATAAAAGTACTTTGTACTGGATTCTTAAACAGGCAGCTAGTGCAGTGAGGCCAAGACAGGAGTAACATGCTCCATATTTTTGTCCAAGTGAGCAGCCATGCAGCAGCATTCTGGAAGTCACATTTGGTCTGAGGCAAGCTGACAAAGTCAACCGCACCAACCCCAGATGAAGCACTCAGACCAAAAACCATAACCTCTGTCTTTTTGTCATCAAAAAGAAGGATGTTAGAGAACGTCCATTGCCTAACCTCGACAAGGCAATCTGAAAGAGACTGCAAAGAGTTATTGTGGCCTCTCTTAAAAGAGACGTATACCTGGGTATCATCTGCATAGCAGTGAAAATCACAACCATTTTTCTTAAAAATCAAACCTAGAGGTAACAAATACAAAGAAAACTACTGTGGGCCCAACACAGAACCTTGGGGAAACCCACAAGAGAATGAAGCATTAGAGGAAATAAAATTCCCCAATGAAACACTGAATGTTTTGTCAGCCAGGTACGACAATCCAGCACAACTCCACGAACCCCCACAAAATGTTCCAGCCTAGAAATCAGGAGAGTATGATGAACAGTCTGGAATGCAGCCAATAGGTCCAACTACGCCAAATAACAAAGTTCCTGGAATCTGTTGCCAATAGAATGTCATTGAAGACCCGAAGCATTGCCGATTCTCTTCAGTGGACTGGGTTGAAACTGTACTGGAATTTCCCATCTAACAAATTACTATGCATGATGTTGGTGTTCTTTGTTCCTATCAGCTTCTTTCTTTCTCTCTTCAACCCTCTGATGATGAGAAGGAACACCTCTGAGAGCAAAAACTGGAAGATGTTTATTTCCTTATTTTGTAAATTTATCTTCAGAGTGTAGCTTTTAGTGTCCTCAGGCATGCTTTTGGACAGTCAGCTCTACTGCGTTTGAATTGGAGCTGGTGGGAAACCTGTATTGACATATGCCTTATTTTGCATAATTCTCGAACCCGTAGGATTACCGCTGCGAGTGCAGGAGCCCGTGAAACACTGCTCACATATTCAGACCAAATTAGTCTCCAAATCCATGTAAGCCACTGAAAGCTGGGAAGAAATGCAATAATCGATGACAGGGTTTTTTTTTTTAACAGCGGAGTTATTTATGGGCACTGACACCAATCAGCATGGCGTCTCAGCGCCGACCCAATGAGTTCTGGAGAGACGAAATGGTGTGTGTGTTCAATATTTATGATTACCCAAACAATGTTCAGAGAGCATATTGCTACATCTTCGTCAGATTTCCCTCTTATGTAATATATCAGTACACTCAGGGAGGAAACTCACACTTGCTGTGGCAACCTGCTGTTTACTGAAGGTAACTGTGTGTAGAGGCAATTAATTAAAGCATAATTTAAATAATGGCTTGTTATATTCCATTTAAATCATAGTTAAGTTGTTTTGTCTGTAGTTTTTATGTTTATAGCCAGCTGAGGCTGGAAGCATTATGCTGTCTGACTGACACATCTCTCAGCTTGAGGCAGTTTATTTTTTCCTTTTTTAAATTTGGCACAGACTTTTAATTGGGGCCAGAGATAAAGTGAAACTTTTATAATTGAGCATTACTGTCTGAAATCTGTCCCGTTAAGCTGTGAGTCCCATTTTAAAGAGATGGCCCAAAGAGAGAGTGTGACTGATATTTATTTTGATGAGACTGAATTAGTTGTTTGTGAAACTTCCAGGATTTTAAGGTTTTTATTTTTTACTTTGAAGGTTTAGTATGGAGCTGAAAGCAGGAGTGTTTCCCATGGTGCTTCGTCCAGGTTTAGGCTCAGTATGTTCTCTACTTAGCTTTGCACAATGAACGATTATGTTCGAGCTAATAACCACTTCTTTAAAATGTCTCCAAGGCAACAGGGTTGTACTGTAGAGTCCTGCTCTTTTAGTGCATGTAAAGTGTGAAAGGTGTTAAATGAAATTAAATTCTGTCTGAGATACTCACCTTAACAGGTGCAGAGAGCTGCATGATTTATTAATGTAAGATGCAATAATAGGTTTTAGTATTTTTTAAAGAACAGGGCTAACAAAGGTTGAGTAATATGTCCAAAATGTGGCCTGTACCAAAAAAATACAAAAAAAAAAATAAACCTGGTTTGGAGCTGCTGTTTATTTTCTTTTTGGGTGAGATTATTCTGATCAAATACCAAGAAAAACCCTTTATTTTTACTGACTAGTGTAAATACATTTGTGACATAAAAATAAAAGATTGATGATTTCAGTTGTGGACATTGGACACCATCCTCAGTTATCCCTATCTCAGCTTCTGATTCATAAAGCAAAGAGCACAAGTAATATTTTACATAAAATAATGACCATCAAGGTGTGAGTAATTTGCCGTCTTTAATATCAAATTGTTCTTGTGGTGTATTATGTAGCCTTTTGCTAAAAAAGCAGCTGGAACAGGAAATGGGAGAAACAGAGAGTTTAAGATGTTCCAAGTTGTAACTAAAGTCAGATCAGGGGGACCTGAGTTTGGAATGGTGTACTCTACAGTAGCTTTATGACTTGTAATAATGTGTCAAATGTAAAAATGTATGCATTGATTTTAATTGTCATTTCATCCTGTCATAAATTCATTGTATTTATTTAGGCCCTTTTCCAAAACCCAGACTCAGCTTATGGTTAGGTCAACTCAGCCTCAGTCAGCTCTGCGGGGAGGGGGCAAGGTGATCTTAATACACTCTTAGCAGCGTGAGCTGATCTGTTAACGATGTAAAGTGCTCTTTGCGTCACACTAAAAAACAAGACAGTCGTGATGCTGAACATTCTGCTCAGTCACTGGGTTTCTGTCAGACTGAACCGAGAAAAGGCTGCAAACTCTGAGCTGTACTTTAGTGAATCAGGCATTCTAAATTTCCTAACATAATGTTTACGTCCATAATTTTAGAGGTTACAGTCCTAAAATGCCTGAATGAACACCAATGGTTGTTGCATGCATGTTATCCTAACCCTAACCCTGAAGGTTTGTAACATTGATGGGTTTGTGCGCCTTTAGGCTGAAAAGGAAACTGACCCAGAATTTTCTTACAGCAATAAGGTTGACTGAGCTGACTGCGAGGGTGCTTCAAACTAATTATTTGAAGCCTCTTCTCCGATTAGTGTGGACGTGTAGAGCTTATGGACAGTTGCATTGCAGACAATCAGACCATGTAATAACCAGAGCGCCAATATTTGCTGAAATCCATTGTAACACCTCACAAAACAAAAGTGTGGAAAGCTCCTAATGCTCAGTCCAATCCCACGACACACTGCTTTGATAAACGCACACGCCATCTCCACAATGGACGCCATCTTTACTCTGGCAATTAGGCAGAGCTTTGGATTATCACTTCTTCAGCCCAGCACACCACAAATCCATCCGGATTCAATTATTTCCCTCCCATTTATGTGGCCGTTTGGGCCTTTTGGGCACATGGCCAGTCGACATATGCTTGAAAGGATTTAAACTGCTCAAAGTAAAAAAAATAAAAATAAAATAAAGTTCTGAAAATGAAGCTTCTAAAAGAAACACACTTGTTGTAGAATTGCTTCATGTTTGACAAGCCTATTAAATTAAAATGAAACCTTGGAAGCTCACAAACACTGTCCTGGTGAATATTTCATGAGAGAAACAAACTAAATGACTCAATTTCTCTCTCTCTCGGTTTTGTGTTCCATCAGAAGCGAGTTGCAGTGCATCCGTCTCTCCAGGAGGCCAGAGCTTTTATCCTCCTTACAGGGACGTGTCTCATGTGGTCTCTGCATAAGAAACCAACATACTTAGTGAAAGTATTTGATTTGCTCAGTTTCCATGTTCCTCAGTGCACCAATACAAAAGCTGCAGTCTTTTATATTTTATGTGATTGCTGTTACCACACAATGACGTATCAGCTACTAACACACTCCTCCTTTGTCTGCACAGGTACCACAGTATCATCACAAAAAGGTAAGTCAACATTCAATCAGTCACCTGTAGATTCCTGCGTGCTTTTCCAGAGGGGTGTTTTGTGTTTGTGTTGATCTGTGTGTCAGTTTTTGATAATGAGATGAAAAGTGTTTCACGGTGTTTGCTGAGGATGATTTGAAATTGTCATTCTGGGGCTTTTGTTGCAGAACAGTGTATTTGATTACAAAGTCAATCAATCACACCCACTGACACTGAGACTAAATTATCCTACGATGACAGACAGCCCACAGTCTGTGGTTAAAATTGCCTTTTTTGTGTGTGACTTAAGACTAATCACAGTTCTGTTTCAACTCCTCTACATGTTCATATGCATATTAATCAGAATTTGGGGAGGGAACTTGTCTTGTATCATAGATCATTGCAGATCAACATTTGCAGGAACAATCTTGTGTGCTGTTTTGATTATGGAAGGTGATGCAAAATTCTCTAAAAAGCTTTGGGGGTCTTCCTCTGTGTGAAAGCCTGCAGATGCATGCATCAGACCCTCGCTGCCCTTTTGTCTTCTTAGAGAAGACGTGGTAATGCTAGAGGGTGTGTCTCACTCTGTGATTGCACAACTGAAGCAGGCAATCAGGCAAAAGAACTCCCCACTGATTTTCTTGCTACTTTTTTCCTTCTTCCCTGCTGTGCTCGAAAGAGTTTAGGACTTGTTTTGCACTAGATTTGCACAGAATGAAAATATTTACATTGGCTCCTCAATCAGATAAAACGTGCAAAGAGAAATAAAAATATAAAAAATGAGTGTTTGGTGACTCACCCTTCAAAGCTTCTGACCTGTTGAAGCTGCTAATACGTTTAGCAAAAGACATTGACGGATTGGATCTTGGTGACAGGTTACACTCCGTTCGCCCTCGCTCACACAAACACCCCTTTGCGAATCTATGTATGTAATGACTGTGGGCTGTACGGCGCTGTCAGGCCGGGCTATAAAGGTAAGTGATGTGGGTTGCCTGAGCCTCCCCTCTGTGATGAATGTTGAGGGGGGTAGAGGAGCTAGATTGGCATACATCATCCTTCCACAGCTTCACTTACACACATTTCTGAATGAGAGGCAAGATAAGTAAGGCACTATAACCCCAACGGTGAATGAACACTCACTTTTGTTTCCCTGTGTGTGTCTGCTGTCTGCACCCCCATTGTGTCTCTCTTGTACTGGCCAATCAGTGTTATGTTTATGTTTATGTATTTAGCAGACGCTTTTGTCCAAAGCGACTTACAAGTGAAAATCGGCATATTGCCCTTGAGGATAACAACAACAATAACAACAACAACATTGACATCAGTCATGGAGAGTAGGGAACAAGGAGTGGACAGTAGAGAGGGGGGACGGGTGCAGGCAAGGCGGTAGTTAAGAAGATGCTCTCTGAAGAGCAGGGTCTTCAGGAGTTTCTTGAAAATTGAAAAGGAAGCCGCAGTTCTGGTAATGCTTGGAAGGTAATTCCACATTTGTGGAACGATGCATGAGAAAAGTCTGGATTGTCCTGAGCGTGGTGTAGGCACTGCTAGCCGACGATCCTGTGATGACCAGAGCGGCCGGGCTGAGACGTAAGCCTTTGCAAGAGGATTCAGGTAGATGGGAGCCGTACCATCTCGGATTTTGTATGCTAGTGTTAGTAATTTGAATTTGATGCGTGCTGCTAGCGGTAGCCAGTGGAGCTCAATGAACAGAGGGGTGACGTGTGCTCTTTTTGGCTGATTGAAGACCAGACGCGCCGCTGCGTTCTGGACCATTTGAAGAGGTCTCACAGTACTGCCTGGAAGACCAGTTAGAAGGGCATTGCAGTAATCGAGGCGGGAGATGACAGTAGATTGCACCAGGTACTGGGTGGCATGTTGTGTTAGGTATGATCTGATCTTTCGTATGTTATACAGCACAAAGCGGCATGAATGGGCAACAGAGGCAACATGATCTTTAAAGGTCAGGTGTTCATCAATCACAACACCCAGATTTCGAACTGCCCTTGAAGGAGCCAGAGATAGGAAGTGATTTTGGATTGAGATATTGTGCTGTATAGATGGTTTTGCTGGGATGACAAGTAGTTCAGTTTTAGAGAGGTTGAGTTGGAGATGGTGGGATTTCATCCATTTTGATATGTCAGAGAGACAGTTTGATATTCGTGCAGAGACAGTGCGGTCCTCCGGTGGAAATGACAGATAGAGCTGGGTGTCGTCTGCATAGCAGTGGTAGGAGAAACCATGTGATCGAATGATCTCACCCAGTGAGGTGGTGTATATGGCAAAGAGAAGAGGTCCTAGTACAGAGCCCTGGGGGACTCCTGTGGCAAGATGGTGCACGGTAAAAGATTGTCCAAGCCAAGATACACTGAATAATCGTCCTGTGAGGTACAATTCAAACCAGGCATGTGCATTCTCTGTGATGCCCATGGTACAGAGTGTGGACAAAAGGAAGCCATGGTTGACAGTGTCAAATGCTGCCGATAAGTCGAGCAGGATAAGCACTGAGGATTTGCCTGTCGCTCTAGCTTCTTTTAAGGATTCAGTCACAGCTAACAGAGCAGTTTCAGTGGAGTGGCCCTTTTTGAACCCAGATTGGTAAGGGTCAAGCAGACAGTTTTGTGAGAGGTATTCTGTGATCTGCTTGAAAGCCACCCTTTCAATGATTTTGGACAGAAAAGGGAGGAGAGAGATAGGTCAGTAGTTCTCCACATGATTTGGAGGAAGATATGTTTTTTTTTATTTAGCAGCGGTTTAACCTGAGCATGCTTGAGAGAGGTGGGAAATGTACCGGATGTCAGTGATGCGTTTATCACATGTGTGACTGCTGCGGCTACTGTAGGAGCAATAGCTTGGAGCAGCTTAGTCGGAATGGGATCAAGTGGGCATGTAGTAGGGCGGCTGCAAGTGAGAAGCTTGGACACACAGTTCTCAGTGACAGGGGAAAAAGAGGTAAATGAAGCAGTAGGGCCTGAGATGGTTGGGCTTGAAGGAGTTTGTGGTAGTGAATGTTGAGGAGTGGCCAGTTGAGTAAACTGCTTGCTTATAGCTGCCACTTTGTCAGTGAAGAATGAGGCAAATGTGTCAGCTGATAGATTGTTGGTAGGAGGTGGAGATGGAGGGGTGAGCAGAGTTTTGAATGTTGAAAATAGTTTCTGAGAGTCAGTAGAGCTGAGAATTTTGTCAGTGTAGAAAGCTTTCTTTACATCAGTGATGCTGGCAGAGAATGAGGACAGTAATTCCTGAAATTTCAATAGATCACCAGGATCTTTTGTTTTGCGCCATTTCCGTTCCACAGCTCTAAGATTGGTGTGTAGAGACCGGAGGGTATCATTTAGCCAAGGGTGCGACTGAGAGGATCAAGCAGGTCTAGTGGCTAAAAGACACAAGTTATTAAGACAAGAGCAGGGTGTGGAGCAGAGTGACTCGGTGGCTTCATTCACTTCATAAGCAGAGAATGTGCTGGGAGATGGAAGAGTGGAGGCAAAAAGAGAGGAGAAGTAGTTGGGTGCCAGATTGCGGAGGTTGCAGCGGAAAGAGACCATTGGGGAGGAAGCAGTGGACCTCCCTTGTAGAGTCGCGCTGAAATGGATGAAGTAATGATCGGAAAGATGCAGCGGTGTGACAGAGATTGTGTCTATGGCACAGTTTCTGGTGAAAATGAGGTCAAGTGCTTTTCCAGCTTTGTGAGTTGGAGGGCTTTGTACTAGTTTTAAATCAAATGATGACATTAGTGATAGGAAGCCTGATGAGCTGGGATTGTCCAGGTGAATATTCATGTCTCCAAGGACCATTGTGGGACAGTCGTGCTCAGGAATGGAGGAAAGCAGGGTGTCGAGTTCATCAAGAAAGTCTGAGTTGACCTGGTTGGTGATGTATGACAATCAAAAAGAATTTTTTCGGTACAGTTACCTGGATGGCATGGTATTCAAAGGAGTTGTATTTAGTGATGGGTAGCAACTGACTGTATATCCATTTATTGGAAATTAACATGCCCGTTCCACCACCTCGGCCAGATACACGAGAAGTGTGGGAGAAAGTGTGGTTAACTGAGAGAGCAGATGGGGTAGCATAGTCACATGGTTTGATCCAGTTCTCAGTGAGAGCCAATGCATCACGTGACAGGTGGTTTGTATATGCGGTGATGAAGTCACTGATGTTTACAGCTGATTGGCAGTTCCAAAGTCCCATAGACAGGTGGATGTCTTCGGGGGGAGTTGGTTTTAGCGAGCAGAGGTTTTGAAGGTTGCAAGAGCGGTTTGCTGTGTGTGACCTTCCTCTGAAGCTAATGGTCACAGGTATAGGATAATGGCACATTTTGCTAGGTGTTGATAGAGCAGCGTCTGGGTCAAGTTTGCTCTGTGTACCTGCTCTGTGGACACGCGCAGGTAGACACGTATGTCTTTACCCCGGAGTGTCTTCACACCGGAGGGGCTGAGACACAAGGGCTGACACTTCTGCTGATGCTGCAGTTATGCCACCAAACTTATGCTGTGCTACTAATTGGAAACAGGTGTTCATGCAGCAGCTGATTGCAGTGGTTGAGACCTAGATCACCTGATGAGTGCTTTCAGGGAGGGCAGAAACAGCTCGTTTACAGCCCCTGATTGCACTTATTGTTTTCAATTGGCCCAAACTGGAGCTACTAGACAACAGGATAACCCACAGATGAGTTTCCTTCTCTTTTTCCCAATGGAAGATAGTGCAAAGCAAAAGTTTAAGAAGACAAAAACAGGCACTAACAGACACTCAAGGCCCTTCGGTGCAGATTCAAGTCGTGTGTGTGACGTGTATATTTCTATTTAATCCTAACCAGCGCGCGCGCGCACACACACACACACACACACACACACACACACACACTCACACACACACACACACACACACACACACACACACACACACACACACACACACACACACACACACACACACACACACACACAACATTTACCATACAACACAAGTGCATAATGATGGAGAATCACCAGATCTATTCGTTTATATATTGTGACTAAGCTCCT